ATGTGATTTCTTCTGATACTATTTAATTATGTGAGCTCAAATAATTTTATACGTTCAACCTCTGTCCTGTTAACCTGGGAATTCCATTCCACATGTGACATACAGTTAGCTTATGGCCTGATACCCCAGATCACGGATGGTCAGCCAGACCTTTCCTAGTGGGCCAGCCAAGAGAAATGGTGTTCACATTCTCCAGCTGAATGTTTCGCTTCAACTCAATGCTGCTTCTCCATAGGTCGTTTTTCATGCGTGTCGTCAGTGATACCCTTGGGCCTTAGCATCTTCTGCAAAATCCACTGTGGCGCGTTCTTGTCCATTCGGAGATTTGGGCGGGATGGCTGTCATCTCCTTCGGTCGATGATGTCAGACAGTGGCTCAGTGTTGCGCCTATCATAACGCTAGGCATTTGCGATGTTTGCTGGATTGACAACGCCAATAACCTGTCCTTGCTGTTTCCCGTGAAATGTGTTGATGGATGCTACCTGAATCGCCGTGAGCCATCATGCCCCGCAGTTGTACAGCAGAAAAAGTCAGTACCAGTTCGTTAAACAGCCTGATGCGTCCCTGCTCACCTACCTTCCCGCGCTGCAGTCATAGACTGCACACCCGTCCATACCCACTTGACGCAAGGTCTTTCCTCCGCTCCAAATCCTAAAAATCTGAAATCTGGCTCTGGAAAAATTGGTTTTCACTTTTAGCAGGTTCGGCTTCAATTTCTAAATGATACCTAGATGCGCTGTTGAGTCCACGAATAACGAAACTAATAACAAAACCGTTCTGCCTACATAGTGAGAGTGCATGTACAGTGTAAACGTGTTCACAACAATTCGGAGTGCTCAAAGTAGCTATTGTGAGGCACGTCAGCCACAGCTTTCCAACACACAAGACACACGGTCTCTCCTGTCACAAGGAGACAGTTGCCCAACACAGAGGACAGAGGACTGAGGACTGTATCCCGCAGAGAAAGACATGTACCTTGACATATACCACCCTTTTCAGGTGATCTACAGATATCTCCCATCGTTCGAGGGGATTATGACTCATAATCCCCTCGAACGAGGGGATCTCATATCCACAGGAAATCCTGTGGATCCCCTCGGACGGTGGGTCACACCCAATCCTTCTACTAGCATAACCAAAAGAGCTAGCTCCCTTGGCTGCTGTTTGAATATACAAGAATGGGCCTTCCAGATAAGGTCTAAACAGGGGAAGTGGCTATAGTTGTCAAATGAAAAGCATATTGGTGAAACAAAACTAGGGAAGTGGCAATCTTTCTATCAGCAACAAACAAGAGCATCTTAATTTACAACATACTATATGAACCGGATGTGCTGAACACCGGTAACCATAGAGACAGACCACACTCGCATATACATATAGATATTGATGATACTGGTCATAAATAGACCGGAAAAGGAAAATAATCCTGATACCCGATAAAGAGTAAAAGAAAATAAACCAATCACAACAAAAATGCTCGTCCAGCACGCGAGTTGTCATAGAACCATCGCGCGAAATGACAAAGACGCATTGTCATGAGCATCGCCGTTCAATGAAAAATTGGTTTCTAGTACAGTATTTGGAAATTTTCTTATTTCACAGACCTGAAAGTCAGACCGTTGCAGCAGTTAGCCTATTACTAACTCAATGTCATTGGTTCTACATGTGGCATTCACGCTTTACTGGCCTTGACAAATTTGTTCCAAACGATCACAAACAATCCAACTTATTTCGGGTACTCTTACAACATTAGACTAAGCCATAGGACGGACGTCAGTGTCTGACAATTCTAATTTCTTCATTGTAGTCTTTGATTTGTACCGGGAATAAATCGCCTCCACGCAGCATATTTTGTTGATGTCAGAAGAACAAAGCACCTCAAATTGTTTTCAAATGATTACAATATATACTTGTACTATTTCGTCGTCTTGACTTGATCAAAATCAGCACCGTCTTTTCTCACTTTATTGTCAGCTACCAACAAGCAGCGGAATTCATGAGGCTTCGTCTTGGGAGACAAACCAAAGAAAGTGTGTGACATTCCGCACTCACCTCAGTCAAACGAACAAGTGGATTTGCATGTAAACCCGGAGAGGCGATGAGCGAATGACTATGTCAGAACTTACTTCAGTGTTCCGTTCGCACTGCACATGTACTGGTTCATGCTACGCTGCTGATCACCTGAAAAGTGTGGTCTATACAGGATATTGCACAGTGTCCGCGAGGATCCCCTCGGAACCGTGCAATATCCTATACACAACTATTATCTTGGTGGAAAAGTGATACATGAATGACCAGTGAGATGGTGTGCTGCAAGTCTCAGGTATACCTAGATATTGCCTTGGCTTGCACAGTGGTTTCAGGTTTGCACTCTGTACGAATGCACAGCGCAGTTTTCACAGGTCTAGGCCTTCACAGCGCCCAACATGTACCTACAACCAAATGTTCCCTACAGCCTGGTAGCTACACCGTCCACGAAGTTTGCGATAATTTAACGCTGCTAGTCCTGAAAGTAAAACATCCGTCATGTACACTCGCACAGTTTTTAAAACTACTTGGTTAGGCCGCGGTCACACCAAACAAGCCGTTTCCCGCTTGCGCTGAAAGTGGCTTGTGCTGAATGGGGCGGTTGGTCACACCACGGCGCGAAATCGGCTGGATTTTTTTTGTGTGCTAGAGTTTTTTTTCTTCCCGCTCATTTTTGAATATGATTTTCTCTTGTTTTCACGTGGCAAACAACAGAGTTTTGTTGCTGGGCATTGGAGAGGAGTTTCATTGGAATCAGAGTGCTTGTTTGAAAGATTGAGGAAGGTTGGAGAGTCGTGAGTTTGTAGTGCAGCCATGGATCCTGAAACTAGACGCCGTGTTGTTGTCTGCATCTTGCTGTGCACTGATATCATGGTGCGTATGCTTCTAGCGAATACCAGTCGCCCTTGTCCGACGCTACCAAGGCAGATCGTGCCTCGTAGAAAACGCACAAGGAACGATGAGGACGATGATGATGACGATGAATTGCTGGCCGTTGTCCCGCTCCTGTTTGGCAAGCGGAAACGACGTTTCTGGTGTGCATTGCGTAGCCCTGGTGTGTGGAATGACGATGTCATTGTACACTGGAACACCATGGGCCTGCAGTGGGATGTTGCTGACTGGGAAGACGACCAGTATAGACTTTATTTGCGGCTGAGCAAGAGTGCATTCTGGACGTTGCATGGAGTTGTTGGTGGGTGGCTGGAGCGCTCTGTGACACATTACAGATTGCCAGTTTCCTCTGCAAAGCGGCTATCGATTACTTTGCACTGGATTGCGCATGGTTTGTCAATGGCACAACTGGCCTTGATTTACGGAATTGGGAAGTCTACCGCTGTCGCCATCGTGCACGACACGATATCAGTACTGAAGAAGCAGCTGGCCAATAGAGTGATTAAATTCCCAAGCGGTAAAAAGTTGCGAACAGTGATGAAGGAGTTCAAGGAACTTTGTGGATTGCCTCGCTGTGCAGGAGCAATTGATGGGACCTTCATGCGCATTAGAAAACCAGTGAAGTATGGTGATGCGTATTATTGCTACCAGAAGTATTCTTCTATTTTGATATTGGCGGTGGTTGATGCGAGCGGACAATTTACGTACATTGATGCAGGACGAGCGGGCTCGATGGGAGATGCCGCAACTTTCCACGCTAGTGGATTGGAGCAGAAAATCAATGACAAGACATGGCTCACAATCCTTGAGCGTGAAGAGAATAGGAATGTCCTGAATGGTACGTACATACGCCCATACCTTGTCGGCGATGCTGCATTTCCATTGGCTCCGACAATGATGAAGTGTTTCTCTGACAACCAGGCGCTTGAGCCCTACCAGCGCACCTTCAATTATTGGCTGATAAGAACGAGGAGAGTAGTGGAGCAAGCGTTTGGGCGTCTGAAAGGCCGCTTCGCAATGTTGGACTCATCAAAGCTCCGGGACCCGATATTTGCTGCTGATGTTGCTCTGGTATGCTGTGCACTGCACAACTTCTGTGAAACCTTTGCGTCAACGGAAGGTGAGAGCTGGTGCTGTGACCCACAAGAATACGGACCAGGTCCAAATGACCGGTTTGTTTTGGAAACCAATGCCACCGGTTCTGTTGTACGCGAGAAATTGGCACGGCATGTGCATACCCGTCGGCCTATCTGAAGGAAATCTTAGTTTCAATACAACTGTTTTGTCTTTTGCCAATCTGACTTGAGGAGTGCTGTATATACGATGTGTAGCGTGACGTAGTGTGTAGCTACTGTAGCGTGCACTGCTGTGTGCTATAATCTTCTGCTACCATTGCTTTTGCCGCGTAAATCTAGCTGTGTGCAAGTGACGTGTCGGTTTACTCAATTAAAATGTTTTGCAGTCTCAATTTCTGCCTTGATCTATGGCGCTACATGCAAATCTCGCCTACATACGCAGTCTGGCCCAATACATGCATCATGTTTCTCCTGTATGCTGTAGTCTGCACTGTGCATCATCGTCTCTTTTTCCACATTCGCATTGTGACTGTTCAGTTGTAATTTGTTTCCTAGCTGTATGGACGGTAGATGTTTTGCAGCTCAGGTTACGTTTTGAAGACTGCCTCTGTCTCTTGCATGCATCACAGGAACTCACACAAAATATTTGTACTTCGAGGTACATTATGATGAACACCGTGCACACACTCATACCGACAGTGTGTGTGAAAGGCTTTCCGTGAAGCACGGTGGTGTTACAATATTGTCAACATGGTTATTAAAATTATTCTGCAAGCAAGCCTTTGCTGGTCGTGACTGACCCGACTTGTGCTAAAAAATATGGACATGGATTTACGCCGGTGATCTTTGCTGCAATGGGCTAGAGGGCACGTTAGTAGCAGGTGCCAATAACAGCTACTGTATACAGCGAAAGAAAATAATTAATAATATGTACAAACTGATAAGCGAAGGCTTCAAACAGAAATACGGACTGTCTCAGACATAATATACAATGCACTGAAGTATCTACTTCTCAAGGACACCCTTGATCAGCTCCGCCTGGAAGGACATGATGGCCTTCAAATTGTTTGTGAGGAAGGTTTGTTGGTTCTCCTGCAACTTGGCAGTAGTGTCGACAAGCTGCGTTTGGAGCATGGTGGAGTGCTTCTCCGAGCGCTCTGCCATCTCCCTGTCGTGCTGGATTGTCCTCTCGGCACGCATGTTAGCATCCTCCATCTTGGCTTTCGACGTACTGGCATAGATGTCCAGGAACTTGTCCATAGCAGACCCTTGCCTCGCCTTGGCACTTGCACCCCTAGCTGCACTGTGGCTGCTACTTGCTGCAGCCTCGTCTGGTGTCTTGCATGCCCGTTTTGCTGCCGGGCGACCAATTGGCGTTGCTGGCGTTGGTGGGCGCTTGGCGCCTACTTGGATGTCGTCACTGTCACTCTCTGATGACGAGATCCAGTCGTCAACCAGAGATGCTGCACTCGCGGCTGCAACCCCTGGCTGGATGACTGCTGTGGCAGTGGCAGTAGCCACTACAGGTGGTGTTACTGCTGTCGCTGCCAATGCAGGTTCCAATGGCACTTGTGTCGCTGCCACCTCCACGACAACTGCAGACGACTCCGGACTAGTGTCTACGGAAAAACTGAATCCCAGAGTCGGGTGGTCAGCAAACAGCTCATAGAAGAGCTGAAGATGGGGCCACTTTGCAACCTGTAAAATATCGAAGTAGACAACAAATAGAGTTGCCGTGAGAAAGAATGTATGATACATTTGCACACTATTTCTATGAACGCGCACCCAGACATTCTTCCAGTATATTCAGAAAGATTTTGTTCTTCTGTCATCTTCCTTTTACAATGCTCAATCACCGCACATCAGACTGTTGTAAATTGTATTTGTAGAAATAACGTACTTTAGATTCTCAGCTTTGCAAATATACAAATTGACAAAGATACTCACATCATGAACATGATTCCAGTCAATGTGCTCTGCTGGACTGGCGTCATCGTCATCGGAATCGGCAGCGGATCCCGTCTGAGGCTTCTTCTGCTTCAGCAGAGGTCGAACATGCTTCAGGAGTAATCTTTTCCCGGTGGCCTGTGGAGTTTGGGAACAATTTGAAAACATTATTGGTGTTGGGGAGTACGAGACAGGACTGGCGCATGAAAAACGAACACGAACTATTATTCCATGATTTGCACCTGACAAAGACAAGTGAATCGTACCTTCAAATACTCAATCTTGTTCTTCAGTTTCTTGTCGGTCAGTTCCACCAGCCACTGCGGCACTTCCCGTCCGCCTTCTCCAGCACACTTCTTCAGTTCGTCCAAGATCCACGCTCTCTTTCTGGTATTTTTTTTCATGGTGGTCTCATACTTGGTTTTTGCTTCAAACCAAAGCTCCAGTAGTCGCCGCTCCAATGCTACTGTCCAGGATTCCATGATGACCGATAAAAAGGCAAGGAGAGAAGTTTCACCAAGAACGAAACCAACAACGAAAGCCGGAAGGTGGCAGAACACGATGCAAGCTGCAAGATCATGCCAAGATGCGCTTTGAACGAGTTTATTTTTCCCGCCACTGCGCCAGAATGGCTGAAAGTGGCTGAATCCATTCAGCGCTCCCATTCAGCGCTTTGAAAACGGCTGACTGCTGAAAAAGGCTGAAGCCAAAAATTCAGCCGTTTCCGTAGCGACGATGACGTCAAAAAGCGCTTTTTTCCGCTGAATGGCTGAATCGCGCTTGGTGCGACCGCGGCCTAACACTTCGAAATAATAACAACTCCACACCCGAAGATCTGCAACACACAATAACACCACACATATTGCTAGTGGCATAAATCTAGGCACGACCAAAAAACGTACCCATCATTCTTGAAGATTGCATAGCATTTTAACCCTTTGTGTACCAGGCATCTAATGTATGCGCGGGGTACTCATCGGTAATGATGGACCTATAGCATAAAACTAAGACACATTTTATATGTGCAAGTTACCGAAGGATGTTACCAGAGTGCTTGACAGTGCTCAACACCACAAAGGCAGAGCGTAATACACAACAGAACAACAAGGACAATCAAGGCTTGTTTGCTGCTACTGTAATGGGTAGCCGAGTGGTAGGCGCGGTTAAATTAACACGAATTACTTTTATTCTACTTCTTTCAGGTACACACCTGAGATATAATTAGTAGTGAAAGAAGAAGCGGCAAAATAACTGACTTTCTCTCCGGTGCACACCTGGAGGTTGAATAGCTCGTTATTATCAAAATCTCATCTTTTTCAAAACAGAAATGCGCAGCCGCTTTTATGCAGCAGACGCCGTACGCTTACATACGGAGATACACTAAATATACATCAGGCAAAGCTCCGTATTAGTTCCGTACTGCTTCCGTATTGGTCGGGCAGGGATACTACACCCTCCCTTCCTACAGATAATCACGCCCTCGTGATTTTCAAAAAATTAGTGAGGAGTTACGAACAACAGCGTCAACCGGAAGATGGCAAATTATATCGGAAATGATAACGTTTAGAGTAGACAGAAGAAATGAACTGATAACAAATCATAAAATAGAAGTAAAAGTACACCAGGTTCACACGATCTCACGGGGTCAAAAGGGAAAGAACTGTCCTATAAATAGGACCTGAAAAACTACAGCACTCTTGCTGCACAACGCTGGCACAACCCGCCAGGAACATCGCAGTTCAAAAACCGAACTGAATACACTATAACTATAAGGGGTGTTGTCACACACATTGTCCCACGTTAGCTGGGTAAACCGTGGCTCCCCATGATCAGACGTCTACCAACCTAAACTGGATTCACACACTCGCATAAAGGAAGACTGAAAAGAACAGGGAGACTGAAGGAAGAGAGGAAAGAAAATGCCATACCTAGAATCAGCGTTAGTAACCACGGCGGCGGCTGGAGCTACGGCGGAGGGCAAGCCAGGTTTTATCTTCATCTTGGTTGAGCCGGTCACTCAGAGCGGCTAGCTCAGCGTCAGACAAATGACCTGATTGACCCCCCTCCTCGTCTTGAATCGTGGTCTTCACATTGTCGATAGCATCGCTTTGCGCGACGTAAAGAGTGATGGTCTAGCCAGGAATAGTGTTGACGAAAATCTGCATCCCACCACGGAGGCAAAGTACCAAGTGAAGAGTGAGCTCCTGCTTCCGACTGCGTGCCGGCGAAAATCAAACGCTGCTGGTCTTGGGGAATACCCTCCTTGTCTTGGGTACCAGCCTGCCTGTTGTCGTCCTCATCAGCTTCGCCATCACCACCGGTAGTATACATGTAGGTAGCGGGTCGCTTGGAATCGCCATCGGAGTCTCCAGTGTGTGCCGTGCGGTCAGAAGGGTGATCAACGCTAGCACCCTGACTGAGCTGCAGGCTAATAAGCAGTGCCAGGCCGAGGAAGGCAAGAAACATGATTCTCATCTTGATTCGTCGCACGGAGCTGTAGCGGGTTGAGCCATCGGAGTCTGGGGTCGAATCACGTTGTTTTATTTAAAACTACACCGCTGCCACCAATGTAATGGGTAGCCGAGTGGTAGGCGCGGTTAAATTAACACGAATTACTTTTATTCTACTTCTTTCAGGTACACACCTGAGATATAATTAGTAGTGAAAGAAGAAGCGGCAAAATAACTGACTTTCTCTCCGGTGCACACCTGGGGGTTGAATAGCTCGTTATTATCAAAATCTAATCTTTTTGAAAACAGAAATGCGCAGCCGCTTTTATGCAGCAGACGCCGTACGCTTACATACGGAGATACACTAAATATACATCAGGCGAAGCTCCGTATTAGTTCCGTACTGCTTCCGTATTGGTCGGGCAGGGATACTACACTACTTCAAGTTTCATGCTCACGATGATGTTGCCTGATGATTGCGTGAGCATGAAACTTGAAGTAGCAGCAAACAAGCCTTGATTGTCCTTGTTGTTCTGTTGTGTATGTGCAAGTTATGTTTTTCTGAATCTGTTGGTATCAATGTGTCCAGGTTAGAAAATATTTTGACCGAGCACACAACTACAGATACAGGCCATACCTGGAATACCTATTCCTGAGTCAATTGTCCATATTTCCGACAATTTAGATCCGTGTACTTGGAATCGTGAATATACTTGCTAACGTACGTTACGGTTCGAGATGGGGCTGGTACGCAAAGGGCATTTTAAACTCGAAGTTGCAGCACACTAGCCTTGAGTCTTTTTTGTTCGAGGAATCTACACTTCTACTTTAAATTTAAAACATTGGTCGCGTACACGCTCACAGTTTTTCAAACTACTTGCGTATTGGTGACGTCTGATGATTTTATTATGTTATTTAAAATGGTTTTTCCACGTTGGCGTCGCCAAGCAAGGTTAGCTAGCCTTCGCATAAGCTGCTTCATGATGACGTGACGAAACAATGATAGCACGTATATTCTTTTTTGTTTGTATTCTTTATTTGAATTCGCAAATCCAAACGAGCACAAATGATCAATGACAAGGCAGCGAATATGTTATTGTGTTACAGGGAAGGAGGGTTGGGGAGATAATAAGGAAAAAAAGAGAGAATGTTGGATATCTCAATGAAGAGCGTATTCGATGTACTTCAGTAAGACAGAACCAAGGTTGAGGGTATTTTACAAAAAGCTGCAAGTTGTCTTGAGGAACAGAAAATAACAAACTGTACGAAAGTAAACTGCAAGAAATGTGTTGGGGTTGATCTCAAGATTATTGTAGTCACAGGTTGTGTTAGTAGCATTAAATGTTATGTTTTCACAGATATGTCGTTAACATTTCTATTCTTTTACAGGATAATATTATCACGGAATATGATGATGATGTCTGACTATTATATACAATTTAACTCCGAATTGCAACAAACTATGGTTGTGCCTTGTTGACCTTTGAATCAATACTGTTGTAGGGTGAGCAGATTATGGCTTTGCACTTGGGGTCCATTTTTCACCCAGCGAAACTGCCTTTTCCCGAGTCATTGGTTGTTAACAGATAACTGAAGAGCACGTACATGAAAAGGTGTACTTAGACATGCCTAGCTTTTCCCAAAGTAGCTTATAAGTTTTACAAGAGTAAACGCAGAGTTGCAAATTTTCACTCTAGGTTTCACCTATAAGTACTTGGTATCGTGAAAATAGCAGTCAGTCTACATCTGAATCGTTGAAGGAGCACATTTTGAAGAAGCTCGGATACGTTGAATATAGCCAGAGGGATTGAGAATCTCACGAAGCAAGGCAGCAAGCCGCTAGAGTCTAGCCAAGAATCAGTATGGTGAATTTCGAAATGAAACTCGAAAAATAACATGTACGGGCGTTGAGACGTGACATATTTCCTTGCCTGATGGTTAATTTGAAATTCAGTCACGATTTATCGACATATGAGTATGACGAAATCAACCCGGTCGAATTCCGATTTATAGAATTGGACATTCAGGTTTTCTTGGGAAGCAGCGGAAACCCGTGTTCCTTTCAATACGGAGAACTTCAGTCGCGGACTGGGAGCATTTCCATCCCTTTCAGGATTTGCCAAGCAAGATGAAAATGATGCTGATGTGAGTGTAACTGTGAGGTATAACCAAGGTCACTGGACTGCGAGTATCGTGGAGGAGGTCTGTGCCTGGCAAAAGCTAGTACTACGGGCTCGAGTAGCCACATGCATACTGGAGGCAACGCGTCAACATTGGAGAGGATCTCACCAAGTCAATTGTACCAGACATCCATCGCCAATGTTGACCAGCGGTTAGCTTCAGAAATGTTTCATATATATATCGGTATGATCATTGTGGCAGTTCAGACCTGTGGCACGAGCGTTTGCGTCTACTATATAATTCACCTCTAACAGAGAATCCTGATAACCCATATCACTTTCGCGTCGGAATCCTCTCTGACCACCTTAGGGAAGATTTAGACATGCAGCTCGACCTCCCATATTTTATACGAGTAATGCTTAGTGTGTTCGCCATTGTGGTGAAATCATCATTTGCGATGCCTGAAAGATTAAAATTTTATTTCCATCTCCAGTTTCACATTAATATGGACTGCTCGTCACTGATCACTTCTGTTGTGGGATACATCCAGAATACGTTGGCTGATTGTTACCCATTCTTGCCAAGTAATTACAGCCCGCGTCACAAATGTTGCTATTTCGGTTTTTCTCGGAGTAGAAATAAGGGTTCGTGCTATTCTCTGGAAAATCTAATAGAAAAGCAAAATCTAAATTTCTGTTCCGATGTTCGTGCTTTCGGGAATGAGATCAATATTAATATTTCTTTTCCGCGACCCACGGAATACATTAAAACTTTCCCGGAAAATGTTCGTTTCCCAACCGATGACACACCTCGCTCACGGCGTTTCCCTAAACCATGAACGTGAGCACAGATTGATGAATATTTCCCTGCACGATTTCGACCTTGAAGTTACAGGTATATGTACCCACCGC